CCCCACACCCACACAAGTAATGACATATTTTGGGGGGAACTTCTCCAGTCTGTATCTTAGCCAACAATTCATGTGTATTCCAGACTTCCGTTAAATTGATGAGAATTTAGAATTTGTGATATGATACCAAAGTTTACTTTTTTTGGTAATTCCTTAGATTTTTATACACAAGAATCTATTCTCCCTCCCTGTTTGGTACCTTTGCCATACTTCAAGTAGTATGAGCACTTATGCTTCACCTTAGAATATCTCAATTCCTAAAGCTCACCCCTTGCAAGTGTCCTTGGTGCATATTTGGAAACCGAGGAGTTCGTTGCCTCAAAGAATAATTCAGGACTAAATTGAAATAAAGATTTTAGTGCTTTAAATGGAATCACAGTGACTAAATTCTGTATACATCCAAGATGGAAAATGTGACCTGAAAACCTTGTCAGCAATGTCCTAAACCAGATGGCATCTAAAAGCCCTGCATAGCTTTCCTGTAGGAAACTCTTTTTCTGCTTTCTTGCCATGGGTGGAAAAGGCTTGGCCTGTTCTGCCAGCCCTGCTCAGTTCCTTCAGAAAATACGTGTAGACTACTTATGTAGAGATAGGTATCAAAAAATCCTGTATGTAATACATTTTGGATCCATAATAAATGTAGGCACCCACATGCAGTGCCCCCCGAGACCTTGTTCAGTTTGTCACAGGCTTGAGAATAGCAGAAACCTTCTATATAAGCAGAAATAAGTGAGGGATCAAGAAAAATCTAAAAGGAACTATAGGAAAAGTATGTGATGGAGTCACTACAATTGAAGTCTATAATGCAGAAAAAAGTTTTGGGATTAACATAGTAGCTACTGTCTAACTACCACCACTGTCACAAGAGCCATTCCTTCAGCTGGTCAACCTGATAAAGAACTGTGCCCTTTCTATGTCTGTAAATAACTTGTCTAGCTTACAAAAGATACAGACAGCACTGATGCACTCCAGTGGAGAAAAAACAGATTTGTTTTTATTCCTTTCCATGAAGTTTTTCTAATTTAGTCCATTTACAGAACATTCCTCAAGTTGCAGATAATCTCTTGCTGAACACTTCTGCAAGCCCTGATTTATCATTTACATTGAAAAGAGGCATAATGTACATTTTTGCTCCCACATCCTGAGATGAAGAAGTTGACTTGGAAGTGGGTTACATGAAGTAGTATAAAGCAGTCCAATGTGTATCTCTCACTGAG